GAAGCTTCCTTATACAACAGCGTTTAAGGAACACAAATGGCTACAACTGGCCAAGTTTTAAAGAATAAGAGACTGCAGAGTGTATGTCCTTGATAGGACTCCTATATCAAACCTCTCCCACCCTCCACTCAGGAACCATTTCAGAAGAAGTGGGGGAAAGATTGTGAAAACCAGGGTGGTCCATGAACACAGGGAAGCAGAGGCTTTCGGCCACTGGAAGATTGCACATGTGAACTTGTGGCAATGGTGACATTGAGCACAGGACCCATGCAAACTCAATCACACAAGGGCCCAGAGTGGAGAGAGGGAAATGGGGGGGAGGTTGGTCCTGATTGGAGACTGGTTACTACTGGTGAGGGAGACTAGGCCTTACCCACAATCTATAGATAGGTTGACTAGATTCCAGTGGATGACTTTACACCAAAGGACATCTGGGTACAAATGCTTGACTGGATAGGACTTAACATGTATGGCAGAATACATGAGGTCTGGTAGGGGGAGTGGAAGAGGTATGGGTTGGGGAGGTGGTCTGAATTTGATTAAGAACTGTTATATGAAATGTACAAAAGCTCATTAAAATTTTTAAATGCCTAAAATATTTTTAAAAGAATAGTATAAGAAACACAGGCAAACTCTACACATATTCATAACATGTATACAACACCACCAAACAATAATTAACAAGTTAGCATATGTTATCTAACGTTATTTTGTCTCTAAGTCACCTCTCATGGTAACTTTTAAAAATATTGGTTTACACTTTAACAGTAAACATTATTATTATAGATTTGATAAAAAATATTAAAACATTTCATTTTCCCAGGACAATACAAGCAATTGAATATGTAACATAAGTCTATTTACTTTACAAAACTGAGCAAGGCTATTTGATGATTTGTTCTCCTTAGGCTGTACTGCTGACTTCATCACAGAACTCAGACCACACTTTATATGCTGTGCTTCTGATTTATGTTCACTTTTTGACTGAGTGACATGGCTTTATAGATGTCATTTTATAGAACTAATTTTATATGTTTAATAAGCATTGTGTTTATTAAACTGTGTGAGTCAGAAAATTTCAAACTGTCTTTCACAATTCTGCTTCATCGTGAACTATAATTAATAAAACAGAAACAAGGACAGAAGTTGACACTAGGAATTTAGGCTCTCCTTGAGAATTTAAACACCTCTTAATAATCAGATCAATAGTATATTGAAGGCAAATGTTTAATTCTGTTACCAATAATTTCAATCAAATTTGTTGAAAGTTTTTTTAACAGACATTAATTTCTCCAAGCATATATTTTTAATCAAATATATTAGAATTTGGAAATATCACTAATACAAAACATAGTTTATAGTTTAAAGATCTACATATATCAGGATAATAATCACTATTTTGTAGTTACTACTTTAGAATTTAAAAACACCCTTCTATATAAGAGAGGATGACTCGTAATATCCAAGAAGCTCACAAAATTCAACATTCGCAACACATTGCTAACAGTAAACAATTTCTAAGGGAAAGCCAACTCTAAAATAGAGTTGGCTTCAAGTTGGGCAGGAAATCTCACTGTGGCTACATCAGTGAAACACCATGCTTCTGTGGGATTTTCAGGGTATACTTGCCTTAGAATTTCCCATATTTTTTTGCCAGTAAATCCTTGTCTAGGTTGTTGTAAGCACCACAGTAAACTCAAAGCCAGACTTGCATCAAGTCATGCCTCTGGTCTGTTGTTCATTCCCTTCCTGGAGTAAAAAGAAGTCTATTATTGTCTCCTCCTGAAGATTTTCAACATTCACTAAGAATCATCTGCCCTGAATTCATTCATGAGAGTGATGGACACTGAACAACGTATCTTCTGCCCACTACACATCATAAGAAAATGTTGTTCAGGACTGGAGATGTGGCTCAATGGTTGAGAGTACTGGCTGCTCTTCACAGGTTTGGTTTACCACAGTCACATTGCTACTAACAACTGTCCTTAACTCTGATCCCAGAATACCTGACATATTCTTCTCGTCTCCATGGGCATTGCCTGGAAGGGCGAAATTAAAAACATACAGGCAAGATATTCATAGTTATAAAAATAAACAAAAACATTAAGAGGACATGTTATACAATGCAAGTTAATATTTTATTATATTATACATAAATTCCTTTTCTGTTCAAATAAGATATAACATCGATAGACTTCTTAAAGTATATAATGAACTATGCGAATAGTGACATGACTCACCAGAAAGGCTTAGCCAACCTCCTCAGAACCATCATCTCATAAAAACAATCACTATTGAAAACAACAAACTGAAATGTCACTCTGTAGCTCATCCTGCCTGTCTGACTTTAATATGAGGCTCCTCTAGGCATATGTGCATTTTGCATGGTCTTGAAAGCTTTGTTGATAAGCTCTATGCTACAAGCATCAGGGCTGAGCACATGTCTTCATAGAATCCCATATTTCTCAATCATTGGAAACAACTCTTCTGAATTTCTCTGTTTCTTCTCATTTCTTTTTCTACTTATGTATTTCTTCATCAGATACACAATGTATATGGAACTGAGTTCTGCAAGGTTAGTTGTGTGGCCTTACAAAAGTCACACAGACATTTTCACAATTACATAAAAGACATAGAAAGACAGAGATAGATACAGAAAGAAATAAAAAGGGAGATTCATTTTGGTCTTTGAAATCAAACTCACAAACAAAAGCATGAATTCCCTCTATTACTAAGCCTTCAGTCTAACACAAAATGGTTTAGTTTTTCAGAAGTATACTGATATTTTTATTCCTATTTTTTTTGCAAAAGAATATCCTTTTTATGCAACAGGAAAGAAGGCTAAACATCATTTTCACACCTTTTCCTGTAGCCAGTAAAGTATGTAATTTTTGAAAAAACATCACAAACGACTTGGTATGTGTGCAGAATGCATGAGGTTCAGTGGGGGGGATGGGGGACATGGATGGGGGAGGGTGTATGGATTTGATTGAGAGCTGTTGTATGAGATTACAAAAGCTCAATAAAAATTAATCAAATCACAAACAAAATCTACATATAAACCAGGAAAAGAAAAATAGCTAAATCTTATTCATAAAAAATGTGAATTTGCTCTTGTATTATCATACATGAGGGGTTTGAGAAACTTTTTGACAGAAGTAGACCTAATACTAACTCAAAAGCTTATCCCAATAGATTATAAACTTCCATTACAAAGTTGAGGATAAAAGTCAAGAAAAAGAGCTATTCTCAAAAAGATCCTGAATAATTATTGTAATTTTGACAATTATGCAATGTCTAAAATTTTGGCATCTTTTATCCCTTTGAATATATTTATAGGTAATAAAACCATCAAATCAATAAATAGATACCCAAAATCATTTCAGAAAAGTAAGAAAAGAAGCAACTAGAAATAAAGCATACAACTACATGGAGGCCCTTAGAGAACATGTGCAAGAAAAGGTAGAGTCAGAATAGTAGCAGTAGATTCTCCCCTGGGGCTTATGACCTGTCCAGTCACAGATTCTTGGCTGCAGTAAGTGCCAGGTTTGGCTTTCTTCTTGTGAAGTAGGCCTTAGACCCAATGAGAAGGTAGTTGGTTACTCCAATCATTCATGCCAGTATTCTACCAATAGGCATGTCAGGCCAGGTTGGTCATTATTGTAGCTCTCAGGTTATACAGCCGGGTAATATTGATAATTACTTTCTCATCTGGTGACATGCACAGCATCTTCCAGCACCATAAAAAGCTAGTCATAGGCATGAAGCTTCCAGGTCAGTACCAGCTTGATTTCTTCATGTTCTGTGACTCAAGTATGTGTTGTCTTCACCAACAGGATCTTACTGACAAATTCTGGAGGATAACTAAGAGCATTAGCAATAGCTTGTAATATTTGGACTCTATAGGACCTCATTGGCCTACCACTCAAAAGGACTTTACCCATTGCTGGCACTGGGCTTTTTATTGGTTAGCCTGTTGTGTCTAATAGGGGCATTGTTACCCCTATATAGGGTAGCTAGATATAAACCTACAGCTAGTGATTTATTGTTGTACTAGTAGATGAGGGCACTCTCAGCATTTGTCAGAGAAGCTTCTTTATGCCATAGATGGCAATTAACATAAAGACTCACAACTGGCCAAAGTGTAGAATAACAGACTGCAGAATGCTAGCCCTAAATAGGGTACACATATTCTCTTCTCCCAAGGTCCAGGGATCATTGAGGAGGAATTAGAATCAGCAGCAATGTATGGTGACAAGGAAATGATTTTTCAGACATTACAGTGAAGGTGCACATATGAGCTCAGTAATTACGACATGTACAAGACTTGCTGAAACCAGACAAAATCTCAGCATGGAGAAGGGAGGTAGAAACAATGTCCCATCCTTAGCAAAGAATCTATCTGGCACTTAATGGCTGCTGGAAATGAGAGAGATTCAACTTCCCTTAAGAGTGTGGCCCCTGGTAAGTCGACCACCTCCAGTGAATGCTCACGCAACAAAGAGTATTTGCGCAGAACAGATTGGACTCCATTTTTTAAAAAAAGATGGGGGGTGGGGGCGGGGAAATGAAGTTGGCTATGTAAAGAAAGGGGAGCAGACCTAGAAGAAGTTCAGGAAGAGGGCTTCGGAGTGACCTAAATACACTGTAATAGATTCTCAAATAACTAATTTCAAAATTAAGGGAAAAAAGAAATGTTAGGTGATAGTATTGACATTAAGTAAGGAAAGATAGCAGAACAGGGTTTTAATCTGACGTAAGCAATGACCACTATCTTGGAGCCACATAGAATCTAATGCTGTTTCAAGTAAAAAACTAGTACAACCAAGTTTTATTGCATGGTAGAAAGAAAATGGATGTTCAAGTAGAAATCTTGTTGACACTTTAGAAATTTAAGAGAAGGAAAATAATTGAAGATAGGTAATGAAAGAGACTAGAGGTAAAAGAGAAAGGCACAGAAAACCAGAGGCATGAGGTTACAGGACATGTTACTCAGTCAATCAGCTGGTGATTCTCTTCATGGTTCTTTTCACAGCAAGTTTAACATCCTTGTTCCTGAGGCTGTAGATGAGAGGATTCAACAAAGGCACCAAAAAAGTATAAAATACTGAGAAAAATTTCCCCTGGCCGACAGTTTCAGCAGATGGTGGATTGACATAAGCAAGGAGACCAGATCCATAGAACAGACTGACAGTTATAATGTGAGACCCACAGGTGCCCATGGCTTTGGACCAAGCCTTAGCTGATGACATCTGAATGATACTGAGAATGATCATAGCATATGAAACTAAGATAATGATGGTACATAAAATGATAGCTGTACCAACCACAGCAATATTCACAAGCTCATTAACATAGGTGCTAGTGCAGGACAATTGAAGGACAGGGAAGAGGTCACACATGTAATGGTTGATGATGTTAGATTCACAAAAGCTGAGCCTGAACATAAAGCCTGTGAGGATCACAGCAGTAGCAAATCCTATCAAGTATGAAACAGCTATCAATAGACAGCAGATCCCAGGTGCCATGACAACATTGTAAAGCAAAGGCTTACAGATGGCCACATAGCGATCATAGGCCATGACAGTCAGCACATAACTCTCTGAGTTGATAAAAAAGCAGAAGAAAAAGAATTGTGTCATGCAGCCTGAGAAGGAGATGGTATTCTTCTCTGAAATAAAACTCATCAGCATTTTGGGGGTAAAGACACAGGAATAACAGAAGTCAATGAAGGACAAATTGAAAAGGAAAAAGTACATGGCAGTGTGAAGCGAGGAGTTCAGAATGATGAGACTCATTAAGCTCATGTTTCCCACCACTATGGCTACGTAGTTCATCAGGAACAGCACAAACAGGGGCAGCTGGAGCTCAGGTTGGTCTGTTAGTCCCATAAGAATGAACTTAGTCACTGAACTGTGGTTTTCCATAGCTATTTGATTCATGAGTAGAGTCTGTAAGAAAAAGAGTCAAACGTGACACTACCAAGTAATGCATCTTTGACTCCAGAGGGATATCTGGCATTATTTCTTTCTAAGCTTGGGTTGAAAGAACACAGAACAAGGCATACACGAATCCCAACAGCTCATACTGTTTTTGAAGAATCCCTATTCCCCATTCCCCTATCCATGGTTTATGTAGGTTCAGAAATTATACAAGTAGGCATCTTAGTTTCTCTGAACATATTTTCTTTTCTACCCTTAGTCTCTACTAACTAATAAAGCTGAAAAGAGAAAGTTATAAAGGTGTTTTCTCTAGCACTCAAGATTTATAGCTCTTTTAGTACTGGAAAATTATCAAGACAAAGATGATTCGAAACTCACCTTTGTTCATTGGTGCCTTCTTCCTCGCTGTCCTGAGGGCCAAATTTACTATTAACAAAGCAGGTTATGGACATCAGTACAAACATGTTTATAACCTGCTAAAAGAGGTACATGGGAGAGTTGCATGTCATTTTTATTTGAGGTTTTCTCCACAAGATTCTTTTAATTTACATAATACAAAATATAAACCTTTAAATGGGTCTCTAAAGCATTACCTCACTCAAATGAGAATTTCTATTTCAAGTCCAATATTTCTGAGAAAGTTCATTAGAACCACAGAAAAGTATTCTAGACTTTAGGATTTCCTCCCTGTAGAGTGTGTCCCCTGAGAGTATTAACTAGTCAGGTAGTGTTTACATCCAGTGTCTTAGAATTATCATAAAGTCTTTTGAGATTCAAAGTTATACTCAATTTGTAATTTCCCACTGGGAGGACCTAGTCCCCAAGAAGAACTGTGAGTGCTCATCTCGGTCCATCTCCTCGGTGGTATGCAAAACTCCAGAAGAGGAATTTCCAGAAACATTCTCATGCTATCTGTACATTCCAATTGGTATCTCTGACTTCAGTAAAAAACAGACATCACACTTGACCAAAAGGTTTTACATAGAAGATGAAAGGATAGAAATAAGCTCTCAAGTCAGTATGACTTTATATTCTTAGATTCCTGTGGGTATGATGGCTTATATTTCTAACACTAGAATTTTATTTGTATACTTAAATATCACCTTAAATTTTAAAGTTAATTTAAATTTAGAAGATAAGTACTTAGAATTTTTTAAGTGAAGATCATTAAAATGAGGTTAATTTTCAAAATCATAGGTCACAACTATAAATTAATATCAGAAAGTCCAAAGTGAAGAGCCAGTCCAGCAATGTGCACAGCAGAATCCTGGGAAAGTCACAAAGGTCCAGATGCAATGATATGTGCTAACCTACTCATAGTAAAAATTGCAGTGTTTTGTTGCAGGCATAGATTATGTCTACTGCTCATGAGATGGACACATCACCACTGCTGAGATCACACTGTTAGAGTCTGCGCAAGTCCAAAACTAGCTCCAGAATATATGTCTTAAAATTTTTTGAAGATAATCAACATAAATGGAAGATAAATAAAACCTACTACAACGTCTTGTTTTTTTTCCTTAAATGTATAAACTCTGCACATACACAAGACGATTGATTTTTAATGTCTCTTTTCAGATAACCTAGGTGTTCAGTCAGATTACACATGAAGTGTATGTTTATTTTCAATGTTTACATTTTTGTAAGATTCTGAAGGGCTGGAGATGTTAGCTTCTCACAAACTCTTCCTCTTGTTGGTAAATGTTGTGATATTTCATTAGGTTCATGAAGAGTGAAAATAAACATGCATTAACTTAGAAATTCTAAAGCAGAGTGGGAGAGTGCACTCCTTTAGGCAGGAGGATCTCTGTGAAATCCAGGCCAACATGATCTACATAATGAGTTCCAGGCCAGGTGGGACTACAGGGAGACCCTATCTCAAAAAACAAACCAAACACAAAAGAGAGCAATACTCTTCACTTTTGAAGTATATATTCTCAAAACATGAAACTTGTTGGTCTTGTGGAAAGCATCCTGTCCTATATACAGTAAACATCCCATCAACTCTCAAGAGAAAACTCAACATCAGAAATCAGATAAAATTTGCTCTATTTTTACAATCCTTATTTGAAATTCTGTATCACCCAGTTCATACTCAAAGAGTATAACTTCAAACATTAATCTGATTGCTCAGCAGGTAAAGTCACTCATTACCAAATCTGATGATCTGAGATCTTGAGTTCATCCCCAGGACCCACATGAGGGAAGTACAGAACTATGTCTGGCAAGTTACCCTCTGACCTCCATAATCAGGCTCAAACAAATAAATGCAATACAAATCTGCTGAGTGTGATGGTGCTTGCTTTTAATGTGTCTGAGGCCACCCAGGTGTATCTAGCAAGTTCCAAGCCAACTAGGGATACCCAGTGTATAATCTGCTGTAGGGAAAACCTTTAATTACAAGATTTTCCAAGTCATATTCCTTAATACTGTTGTATAGGTTCATTCCTTTGTTTTAATAACCCCTAAGAGAGGTCAAAAAAGCAGGACAGAGGATGAACGCTCAGTGTGGCTTCTCTGTGCCCTTGCTGTAGAGACGCAATCCTTCAGGTCACACAGCTGACTGACAATTTTGGACAGAGAATTAATTGTACATTCCATGTCACCCTGGGATGATGCTTGGAGAAAATGTCTTAAGAATGTAGCTTGGCTGTGACTTTGGGGTTGAGTTCAATGCTATAGATGCAATATATATAAATATCCTTCCATGATGGTAAAGGGGAAGAGGAGCTCAAGTGATGGTAAAGAGGGTTGTAGGAAACAGGTGTTATCAAGGGGGTAAGGGGGATTGTACAAGTAGAGAGAGAAGATAGAAAAATAATGCTCAAAACATGTAAAAAAGCCAAACAAAAAGTATTAATTCAAAACTTACTGAAAATGCACACACAAAATATAAAGAATGCTTGTGTATAGCTGAGGGCTGTATAACAAAGAACACAAGGAATGCTTGTGTATAGCTGAGGGCTTTATAACAAAGATCACGAGGCCTGGCAAGAGAAACGTCCCTTCAAGTTCTTGTTCAGTATAATCCAAGAGACTTCCAAAATAATACAGGATATTACCACAGCCATTGATTGCCTTTCAGAACTTGAAGGTAAGTCCCTGTTGCTGATGACACAGCATACTTTGGACTCAGGACTTGGAGTAACTGAGCTGGAACTGACCTGGAAGCCTCCTGCTTGGGACTAGTTCTTATTCTATCAGAGGACATTCTGTAGGTTGTCATGGATGTTGTCATGGCCTCCTCAGCTGTAAATCCTAAAAACACAAAAATTGCTAGTCCAGCAAACATTCTCTATTGATGCAGTAATGGATCACTTATATGTAGGGGCAATCAATCTCTGACATCTGGTTTAGGCACTCTGAGTGGGAAAGAACTCATGTGTGGTTACGTAAACATAACCAAATGCAAATGGTTGGAGAGGTCACAGATCCTAAAGAAAAACCTACTTTTGTCTTATACCTAGACCAACACAATTTCTTACTGTATTTTAAATGTGCATCCTTATATTTTCAGACAAGTGTACCTCTCACCACTCATCAAAAATCTTCTTCTTACAACAGATGGAAGGGCCTACAGAGTTCCACAACTGGTCAAATGCATAGAATGAATGAGTTGCCCAGCACTGAGTGACAAATCTACGATCCAACCTCTACACCTGAGGCGAACACAGTGGAACAGAAGGCAGAAAAAATATGAACGCATGTCTCAACTCTCACTAGTGAAGCTTCCTCGTGAAAAAGATGGGGACTAACCCAGAAAACCATAACCGGCCAAATAGCAGAGAATAAGAGACTGAAAGGTGCATGACCCTGGGTAGGACACCTATATCAAATCTCTATCACTCAAGGCTCAGGCACCACTGAGAAAGATGGGCAGAAAGACTGTAAGGGCCAACGGTGGTGGAAGACCACAAAAAACAGAATGTTCCAAAAAACTAGGAAACTACTCCTATGAACTCAGGGCAATGGTAACAAGACATGCAAATTCAAACTAAATAGAACCTCAGCATTGAATGGGAGGAAATGGGTAACCAGAACCAAGATGAGTTGTCCCGATTTTCCCAAAATGATGGACTATAACTTGGAACCAAAAGACAAACAAACTTTTCCTCCCTCCCTTATGTTGTTTTCTGTCAGAGTATTTGTCAGTGCAAGAAAAATCGAACTTGAAGAACCTCCCACGACCTCATTCCAGCTCCACTCAAGACCCTAACATGTCTCCTCCTAACTTTATGTCCTTTTAAGTTTGTAAATTAATATCCCACTGAGTCCATTTAGTGCTGTACAACCACTGCACATGGGTATAGAGGCAACTACTGGGCATGGGAAGACTACTAATGGTCATATCACCACAGAAAAATGACCCTCCCTGCTTCAGCAGCCATCAACTGCCAACAGCTCCTCAGATATGGATGGAGTATCTGCAGGCAGACCTCCATCCATGCTGGAATTTTGACTGGTTTAGTCTTGTTCAGGGAAACATAGCAGCTGTAGTTTCACGTGTGCAATGGCCATGTCATTTCCAATATACAAGATTTCACAGATTCCACCCCCCCCCTCTTATGTTCTTTCTTCTTTCTCTTCCATGATGTTTCCTGGTCCTTTGGTCAAAGGTGTTTGTTAGAGACAACCACTCAATTCTGAAATCACAGGTTGTCAGCACTTCACTCAGTTATGAATCTCTGCTTTAGTCACTATCTACTGCAAAAAAAGCTGCTCAGACAAAGGTAAAGAGCAGCACAAAGCTCTGAGCTTAAATATAAATATTTAGAATGAAGTTTGACAGCATTATTAGCCAAAAAACAGTACGTTCCCCTTTAGAGCTTATGATCACCCAGACGTGATCTCTTCACCAGATTTACAGTACCAGGCCAGAAATCCTGCCTGTGAAGTAGAACTCAAATCCTGATGATGATGATGATTATGATGATGATGATAATATAGTACTAAAAAGTTCTACTAATTGTGTTGTTTTAATTAAGTGAGATGATTCACAA